TTCTTTCCTCGCCGACTCCGTCTCCACCTAAGGGAACCCCTGGACTTGTGGGAGCCGGTCTCCCGCACTCCCCCAATAAAATCTTCAAAAAAAGAAAAGAAAAAAAGAAAATAAAGCGGGAAAAGCAGTAAGTGAAACCCTCAGTAACAGAGTTTGATGGACCTCTCAAGGCTTCTGACCATGCAGGCCCCTGGGGAAAAGGATGTTAACAAAAAGGCTACTACTTACCAGCACCGTTCGAAATACAGTTGCACTGATTCCCTCAGCAATCTCATACTCTCCTTTCTCATTGGGCCTTGTGAAGTTGTACTCTCTTCCTGGTCCAAACATCCTGAAAGACACCCAAGCAGCAATGTTACCTTCTCCTGCAGGACTTCCTTCCTTCTTCACCTCATTCTGGAAGACTCCCTCTCATGCTCTCCTAGTGGAAGGTAACAGAGCACTGGGACCCAACCCCTGGAAGATGTACTCAAGTCTTAGGAAACTCCCTTCAGACAGAAAAAGGCAGCAATTGCTTTTAGTGCAAGGAGAATGAAGCAGCAAGTTTCAGGGTTCCCCTGTGGTGAGCTTCTGTGACAGAAAACGAAATAAAACATCTTGTGCAGAGCTGGCCCTTGGAACACCTCTGGGATGTGAGGGTGGCGTCTCCTGCCCGCCACACTGCCCGGGCACCTGCCTCTACACACACGGGCAATGAGGGCAGTGCGTCTCGTGCTCCTGACCTCTCCTATTCCTTCCCCTCTATCAGCATTTACCTACCCAGTCTGCCAGTCCTCAATATTTCAGTTTTGCTTTTCAACATCTGATCTGATAGATGAGTCTGTATTAGTAAGTACAGATATGTTAATGCTTTCCCTTTCCTCATACGTTTTAATGATGGAGCTCTGGAAAAAAATGTCCTCCTTCAATCTAAGGAGCAACTCTAACTAGGAGAATTTCAGGTTAAGTAGAAAACAAGGCTAGATATTTGGCTTATCAGCAATTTGACATATTTCTGAGAGGCAGGCCTGCTCCAGGCATGAGTTCAGAGGTCATGAGGGTATAGGTAGGTTTTGCTTTTCTTACTCGACTTTTCCCTTCCCTCCTCCCTTCTCTCAGATCCCCTCCAATAAAACTGGCCCTATGACCACTACTACTCCTGTTGCACTTCCTCGTATGAGCTGTGGAACGGGAAGCCAGCAAAAAGAACAGGGCAGACAGTCGCTATATTCAGCCAGCCTGAGTTTCCAGTGGGGACTCACTGCCATTTCTTTTCTTAACCTGCTGGGAAGCCCTGCTGTCAACTTTTCAAAACTGTTATCCTCCACACCCTGAATTGGCTGCTTTTCAGAGGTCTGAAAAAGACTCCACACCACATGCTTTCCAAATCACTACACCATATTTAAAAAATCCATCCCAATAAAAGAATGCTGACATTTTCCTGGCATGTTCTGGCTGAAGTCTAGCCGAGACAGCTATGAATCAAAATAGTGAACAACATGCCATAAATATAATCCTCTCATCCATCATCAGCAGGACCTAAGCTCAGCTATTTATCTAGTAGTGGACGGATTTGCATTAATCCATTCTCAATCTCTCAGCTTGTCCCCTTTGTGATTAGTGGTCCACATTTGTAAGCTCACTGGCTAGGCTTACAAATACTGTATGTAGCCACAGGGCAGAGCAAACCTAAGTAACTCAGAATACAAGACCTCAGCCAACTCAGCTGATGAATCAATTTAGATAAAAAAATCAGACTCTCATTTTCATGGGACAACCTTTTCCTAGATTCAAAGAAACAGTACCACCCAAGAATCTATTACCCAAAAATGCTTGCCTTTCTTGTCTTATCACTACTTTGACAGAAAACCTACCTCAAACAGCTAACCTGCCCTAGGAACATTTTTTGGGGAGCGGAGGCAGGGACAGAGTAGTGGTGGTGATACTGAGGAGAAGTGAAGTCTGATAAAACATAGGGCCAACTTAGAAAATGTGTTAATGTTCTAGTTTAATTCAGAGGTTTGAGAAATACGTAGATTTGGTTTTGGTTAAAGATGGTTCATCATGAATTTTCATGTGTATTTTCAAGTATACATGTATCTGAATCGCTGGATCCCATTTAACCTAAAATTCAGCAAATTCGTGTAGTCCATTCTAATTTCTAGTTCAGTTCAAATCAGCTCAATGTCCTGAGTGAGGTTAGATCTTTAAATGAGATCTAAGTAGATGAAAATCCTCAAAAGCCAAAAGCCAAAGGTGTGTATACACTCCTCCTCCTCCTCATCATCATTTTACTCTTATCCCAATAGTCTCTTCCTCATGTTAAGGTCTATGACTGGCCAAAAAAGGGGGTCTCCCAACCCTGCTCCATGCTCCAAGAGTCCTTCCGGACAGCACCCCTCCTGAGCAGGCGCTTTCCATTTCCTAAACCTTTGAGATGGAGGGAGGAGGAAAAGGCTATCGCCTGAATGAAATAGCACAGAAAATGGAACATGAAAAATAAAGAGTACAATTATGAAACAACAAAGCAGCCAGATATAAAGATTTGATTTCAGAAAACTTAAATAGTGATGGGGGAATTAGAAAATGACAGTATAACACTGATTGCCACACATAACTGGCAATAGATGGCAGGCAAAACAATGCTTTTCAGTGAAATGGCTTTGTTCTTACGTCATGTGAAACATTTATCTAATTCTAATTTTTACGAAAAGACAAAAAAAGGAATATGACTTACAGATCCCACTTTATCCTAGTACCTCTGACTTGTGGGACTCAGAAAACATTGCTTTTGTGAGGTTATAAAAATAGTGGATAAAAGAAATTAAGTATCTGACTTCTGTTTTAGGGTGAGTTTATCGAGGAATAGGGAATGAGATGTAGCAGACTATTTCCCATAGTTCTGATTGTATTTCCTTTTGTTCAATACACTGGCTTTCTAAATAAATAAGAACCCCGCCCCCCAAATCACCAACACATATAAGGCTTTTTTACCAGCTTCCCCTCCCTGTCTCATCAAAGTATGAAGGTAGAAAAATCAGCAATGCAATGCATTTTATTCTCACATCTCATGAAAGATAAACAGCAGGTATTTCTATTCATAGAGAACAGAGTGCATTTGGGAGGAAATTATCATCAATTACCTTCCCAACATGGTGTCCGGATGAGCAGTGAAAATTTGTGGATTCACAACAAAACGCGTACCATCTACAAGAAGTGTCACTTTCTCTGGTGCCTGGGAATGAATGGTACTCCCAAAGCCCACAGTGCTGTTTCCAAATCGTTCTGGAGCAATAAAGGATTCATGGTTCCGCTTATTCCCGCTTTGGAAGCAGGATCCTTTGATGTCTTCAGGAAGTGGCATTATGTGAGAGAACTGCAGGTTAGCTGGCTGAGAGGCGTAGTCAAGTGCAAGGTCTAAAAGATCATACAAACAAACCAAAATCACTTGACAGCAAAATGCCTGACGGGAAAAATAAACCCTGCCTTCTTTTTAAAAACAAACAAACCCCACACATTTTTAGGGGTTCACAGCCAAAAACTCTTGCCTAGAGCAAATACAGAAACAATACAAACTAGAGACTCATATTGGACCCCCTGACCATTTTTCCATGCGTATGCTGGGGAGGGGACAGATGGAAGGCAGAAATGCCCACACTAAACTCTGTATATGGTTAAAAGAAATTAAACACTGGAAAAGAATTTCTGTGGCAAACCAGCAATCCCTTGCCACACCCCATGACCGACCTCAGTCTTGTTTCACAGAGGCAATTACTTTTTACTTCTGTGTTCATGTCTATCTCTAAATAGCCCTCTTATATTTCCCGTGTTTTATTTTAAGGAACCTCTGTGTGCCAAAACGATTCCTTTTCCACAGTCTTCAAAAATGTTTCCAAATTTTATTTTCCAGAAGGATAATAATGATAGTCTAATTGTCTAATGCATCACTTTTCCTAGAAAAATCACAGACGAATGCATTTTCATTATGCATAGGAGAATCCTAACATCACCAACACCATTTTTTGAACAGGCAGGTCTTGCTTCTCAGCGGCAAAGTTGCAGTGCAAACAGTCTTGGATTAGGATTTACGCATGGAATCTCAGTGTTTGTCCTAGTATCAACAAAGAGCCACTTTCTTTAAGCAAATTTATTTTTCTAAAATTGGTTCATCATCTGTAAAATGAGAATTAATGTTCATTCGACCTACCTCACAGGATTGCTTTGGCTATCAACTGAAAGAAAGTATGTGTACTTAAAAATACACACACCACGCAAAACAGGCTTAAACTAAATACTATATGAAATCTGAATGTATACTGAAGACAAGTAGGAGCAAGTATTTACAAAAGGATTACCAGAGGATTCTTTTAAATAGGCAGTTCTCCTAATAGATTTTCATGTAAAAAATGTCTTCAATGAAAAATTTCAAACATACTGAAGCATAGGGTCAATACACTATATATAGCCCATTACCGAGATTTGGCAAGCTCAGTTAACATTTTTCTACAAATCTTTTTTTGAAAAAAATAAGACAAAACTGAATGTCTCACTCCCACCCTTCCTGTATTTTAAATCTGTATATTTCATGAACATGATTATTGCCCATGACTTCTGGGAAATTAGTCTGATTTCTGGCACTCAGATAACCAACTTAACTGTTAGCTAGAGTACTCAATTTTTTTCACAGTTGCTTCTAGAGAAAAGGAAACCAAAATCAATGACCAAAACCTATTTAGAGTTCACAACCTACAGCTTCTGTAGGATTTACATTTTCAGTGTGGCCCTGTTTGCATACCAAGAGCTAAGTTTCCCCACAATACATAGGCAACCTTGTAGCAAGAAACACTTTAATCACCAGGACAGGCTTTCACATTGGAAGTGCTGTTCTTAAAAATGAAAGTAGGTATCTAAACCACCACTTAAGTTCTTTAGAAAGCTTGACTGGCCCCCCAGCAATGAAGCAATTAAACTGGGTTGGTTCCTGAAGGATGGGTAAGATTCACTGCACAAATTCTCCCTCTAATGGTGCACTCCAGGGTAGCAGTCGGTCTGCTTTTCTGTCAATTGATATATATAAAATAGCACAACCTGATCAGAGAGACACAGGTTCAAATCCCAGTCCCCTATGACCTAGCAGTGTGAACCTGAGCAAATTACCTAAGCTTTTGAAGCCTCAGTTTCCCCATCTTTAAAAGAAGTAATAATAAAGCAGGGATCGGCAAACTCTGTAAAGGGCCAGAACATAAATATTTTGGGCTTTGTGGGTCATAGTCTCTGCCACTGTAGCAGGAAAGCAGTCACAGACAATATGTAAATAAATGGGCACAATGGCTGTATTTCAAAGTCTTCCTTACAAAAACAAGCAGCTGTCTCGATCTGACCAGTTTACCCACCTTGATCTAAAAAATGTCTGTGAAATTCTTAGCAGTGAGTGCTCAATAAATGGTAATTGCTATTACTGTTGTTGCTATTGTTTTTATTAAAACTTAAAAAAGAACCTAACAGTTTATCAAGAGCCCTCACACCCATTAATTCAATAATCTTCCAGCCTTGTGAGGTAAGAAGATTATTAGGTTGCTGGAAAAGTCATGACGCATTTTTGCAACAAAAAACAGAAAAAATACGTCATGACTTTTCTGACACCCAATAATATCCCTGTTTTCTAGATTAAGAAAGCAGGGCTCAGAAAGATTCTGAATTTCATCCATGGTGACAGCTGACAGGTAGTAGAGCTAGATTCTGTCTTCTGATTGCAAACTTGTGACTATTTTTCTTACATCATTATTGCCAAGTCAGATGTGCTAAACTGATAAAACAAGTATAGATTTTCTGTCATGATTAACTGTGATATGTTAAGCTGAGCCAACTAACTGAATATTTTAATTAGATTGAGAACATTTATGTGTTCTGGGTAGAGTGGATGCACAGGTGTCAGAAAGCTCTCCAAATTAAGGCAAGATCTAATCACCGTACCATCATTCCTGGGAACTAGAGGATAAGCAAGATTTTGAAGACCAGGAGAAGTCAGGCTATTTGTTTCTTTTTCTTGGGCTGCAGCTGAGGTTTCATCCATCAGGCAGCTGGTTTCCTGCCGCAATAACCTGTCGCTCTCATTGCCACGGTGGACATTCATCTTGGATTCTATGCTGAGCTGTCTGCTTGATCAGAAAACAATCCTGGAAGACAGCAATACGCACGATTTAGAATTCTCTTAAAACAGGTTTCCGGTGCTAGAATGAGAGGAGAAACGAGAACAGTCGCCTGCACTAAAGAAAGCAAAATGTGACCTTCAGTGCTCAAGCTCTCTTTAGTCAGTTCTCTCTGTCACTCTCTCTACGTTATGCTCAACTGCCAAACTCCACCTCAAAATCACATCAAGATGTCACTGATTAGAAGGCTAACTCTCCCCACACAGTGGGAGACCATTGTGAACACCTACTGAGTGAGTGCCCTGTGCCAGGTATTTGCTTATTAGGCAGAATGGAGGACTGGGCAGGAGCCTTCCTGCCTTTCTTCCATGTAGTCACGCCCTGCAGCCCTTCCATCCTTGGGGACTACCCAACTACCAAAAACACTCCTGAAGTTCACCCTACTTATTAGCACATTCACAGTTTATGCTGTACTGATTTCTACCTGGTGTTTCAGTGGAAGAGTCATCTAATAACATCACCAGCTATTTTTATGCGTATGTATTGCATGCTAATACCGATTTAGGAAGAAGTTAGGTCACTAAGGACAGTAACATGTTTTAATACTCTGAATTTTCCTGACACGCAAGCATGGGGAGGTGCCAATAAACATTGGTAATATAAATGAAATTTTGAAAACCTTCATAACCTGTATTAATACATTTTCTTAGTATAAAGTTGATCATTCCCTGCTTTAACTTGGACGAAATATAAAAATGACCACTTTGAAAAGACAAGTCAATCAATACAGTGCCTGAAAACTAATTATTTTACAGAAGAGATATATCCTGTTGATGAAATCTTTTATTTTCAGACCATGGCTCTTACAACATCAGGCAAATTGAGGCAATAAATTGAATGTTCTGATAGGAAACTTGACACGTGGATATAAATTTTTCAGGACTACCCTTTCTTAAAGAAAAAAACATTTACACAAAAAATGTACACTTAAAATTGATCCTAGCAATTGGTAAAGTCAAATAGAACCACCACTGATTTCAATTTGGAAGATGTCAAAATCAGGTCTCCAGAATAGGGTAAAGAAGAAGATCCATGAAATTGGAAAGAACATTATTACCAACACTGGAAAGATTAAAAGGGGGTCTGCTTCTTTAACTGGTTTTGAATTACAGTGTTTCACTCAATCTATAGCTGCTGCTTCTCAATTATACTCTAGCTGCTCAAGAACCAAGTTCCAACTTCTCTTTGTTGCTCCCCAAAAGATCTCTTGGACCAAAATATAATGTTTGCAAAAGCCTAGCTCTTGAAAATTTGCATAGTCTAGACTGTATAAGTTACTTTATTTATTCCTTATACTGTGTGAAAAAGTTTCATTTTAATGGACTAGAATTAAAACATTTTCTTTCTATTCTATAGTACCAGGGCTCAAAACTCAGTTTAACTTGTATACAGTGAATTAATAAATATAGATATACTGGAATTAGCAGGGTAGGTATTTCTAATGAGGGAAAAGAAAGTAACTTGCTGAGCATAACGAGTCATTTTATTTGTATCTAGTTAACTTTTATTACAAATAATACACGAATATTTCCCTTCATAAAAAGGGCCTTTTGATCATCATCCCTGTTCTTGCACTTCTCCAAGTAACTATCACAACTTGCTTGGTATGAATCCTTTTAGACTTTTATAAAGATATACTGGTAAAAGCATCCAGTTTTTAAAAAACATACAAACTATATTCTACATGCATCATTCTCATTCTGTCATGTTTTCTAAATTAATATTCTTGAGATCCATCCATGTTGGAAAATCGAGTTCATCCCTTTCTAACTGCTGTATAATATTCCACAAGTCTTCTCTCACATCTAACAATATTTTGTTTCTTACTTAACTATTACCAACAATGCTTCAATGAACAAGATCAGAGTGTACTATGAAACTCCAAGAGAGGACCCTGATTGCAGAGTTTTCCAAAATGGATTTGGCTTCAGAACTCCTTTTTGCAAGAAACCATGTCAGGATTAATGCTTACTGGTACATGTTTTAAAAATCATCTAGTCCAACATTTCCCAAAGTCCCCTATGAACTAATTCCTCTATAATCCTAGAATGACAGAACAAAACTGTCCTGACCTATGAAACTGAAAAAGTAAACTAACACCAAATTCTTCAACGTACACCAGAGGAGCCAGTTGAAACTTAATAGTAAGGGTCTACTCCCCTTCCAGGATGCATGTTTTATCCAAGTTTGAATGTATATTTTCATTGCCTACCATGGTTCAATTCTGTAACCATCCCCTAAATGAATCTTGGTCCTCAGAACAGATCTAAGGGGGGAAACAAAAAAGAAATAAGCAAAGCACTTCAGCAATATAGTTTCTATTGCTACACAACTATTTTGGGCCAACAGTCCTAAAAGTCACAGTAATGTACAATGACAAGAACCAAAGGGTTATGACACCCCTGGCGCACCTAACAGTAACTGAAGAGACCACTTCAGAAAAGAACTAGGAGTTAGAAATATATTAATGAAACACAGACTGTGTACAGCTGTGAAGCAAAGAAAACTTAACATCCAGCAAGCCAGCTCAAGCTTCATTTCCACATTGCACGTGAAAGCATTTTTATACACTCTTAACAAAGTACACAAACATTTATTATTTATTTCACAGGCCTCCTATGAAGGCCCATATTTTGTTAAGCCTTGATTTTGCTGACCTGGAACAAGAGCATTTAGCATCGTATTTCCCCATCTTGGTAAATTCACATACCATCTTTGATAGTGGAATTATCTCCGCATATTCCTTGCACCTAAAAAAGGGCACACTGCTTTCTCTCTAAAACATAATCATCTCCAGTATTAATCCAAAGTAATCTCTAGATAATGTCTATGTGTTTTCTTCTTACTTGCAATTTCCTCTAATCATTTCTGAAGAAAACAAGATAATTACACAGATCACTGTTCCATTAAGTTCAAAATCTTACCATTGAACTATTCAGATTTTAAAAATCTAGTTGGAATGGGGTTGGGGATAATCAAACCTAACATGGACGCATCTCAAAAGCATAATGCTTTCAGACTGTTAATGGTGCAAGGGTATGAGCTTTTGGTTCTTTTTAAAGATTTTATTGGGGAATTGGGACAGGGGAACAGCGTTGGGGAATAAGGGAAGGGATACAGAGAGGTTTGTGTCCTTTTTGTTCTTCAGTCTAGTTGTGGAGAACGTCACTGCACTGGCCCATGTTCTCTATCATTGCTTTTTTCCCGGCCATTGGACTCGCTCGCTGGCCATTGGACGGCCGCTCACGGCGGCTCATGGCAGCTCACGAAAGCGCACGCCAGCTGCCATCCAGCCCCACTGCAGCCTACACTGTCACCGGGGACTCACGGCAGCCCAGCTCCAGGTCAAGCTATTGTTCACCATCTTAGCTGTAGAGGGCACAGCGTCACTGCTCATGTGGGATCCGAACCAGTCCCTGCTGCTCAGAGCTGGTGTCCCGAGCCAACTCTTACCCAACGCGCCACTCGGCCAGCCCCAATGGTATGAGCTTTTACTTCAGGGCCATGTCTTTCTATGTAAGAGCTGGGTGGAGAAGATGTGGTACAATGCCATAGAATTTGGTAAATAAACCTATCTACCCTTCATCTATACTCCATAATTAAGTTTAGGAAGTAATTACATCTTTGCCAAACCTTCATTTCAGACCGACAAATCCTAATCCTCTCAGTCTGTTCTTACATGAAAACCACTACATTTCAACTACTCTCATTGCCTATCATTGACTCTGGTCTAGTTCCATTATGTTCGTTTCTTCATGCACAGTAACGAGAACCTGTTAATATTTTCTATTAGAGGTGAACAGATTCCATTTTGCTTCAGGTATGCTCTCTGGTGATACCCAGGATTTCTGGGAATAGGTTAAAAAAGGGTGAAGGTGGGGGAACGAGACAAGAGAGGTGATAGATACAATCTAAAATAACTATGTGATCACCTTCTAGGATATTATTGGGTTGTCGGAAAAGTCATTATGCATTTTTACAACGAAAAACAGAAAAATACGTCATGACTTTTCTGACAACCCATTATTAACTGATAGCTAAGAGGCTGCCACCTTTAAAATGTACTCTGGGTGTGTGCATGTGCGTGTGTTTTCAACCAACTCCACTGAAGCGTTTCTGTTGTGGTTCTATTCACTCCCTTTGCATGTGCAACCTTAATGTTCCAATCTCAGAAGCAGTTCTGTCTTCTGACTATTTAAGGCTTTCTGGTTTTCCTTTTTCCAGGTTATTTCTAAAAATATTGAGTAAGACCATTCCAGTATTAAGCCCATATAAACTCATATCATTTCTAAATCTTGGAGCTTTCCTACCTTATGTCCCCAAACTCATAATAATTTAGCTGTTTGAATTAGCAAAGAGAGGGGCCCTTGTTAGCAAGTTATTTCCAGTGCGTCCTCTCTTCCTGTCTTCCTCCAAGAACTCTGGCAGATGGTGAGACATGATTACTTCTCAGGGACGGACCTCTTGCTACATTTCTCCCCATGTATGATCTTCTATTATGGCCCTACCTTTTATAACTGTGGCCCTGGGCAGGTTCCTAAGTCTCTGTGTCTCAACTTGCTCACTTGTAAGACAGGATAATAACCATTAATCACACAGGATTGAAGTATGGATTAAATGAGGTAATACATTTAAAAGTGCTTAGTATGATGCCTGGCACACAATAAATGCTGATTATTGTTATTATTTCTGAACTACAGAGTCTACAAAAGATCTTTTACAAACCTAATCTTATTTGATACTGAAACAAACCAGGAGAGATATTTTAATTATCCTCACTTTACTGTTGTGGAAAAAAAAGAAAAACGAAATAAAAGCTTTAGAGAGGTTAGCAACTTGCCCCAAATCACAATTCTAGCTAAGAGACAAAGACAGATTTCAAACTTAGGTCCTTATTCTTTCCAATCACACTACTTCCCCCAAACCATCTTGCCTTTCATCTGTTACTGACTGCAGAAGTTGCTCCT